TCTGGCAGATGTCCTGCGAAGCGTTCAAGGGTACTTGGATACGTGGCAAGCAAATCCGCCACAATTAGCCGTGATGCATAGAGCCATCCGGTGCTTTTGGAACCCAGCCGGAGCGTGTTAGGCGCTGCTGAAAAGCGCTAAATCGCTTGAAGAGAAGCGGTTTAAGGGGAAACACCCAACCCACCTCCGCAAATCTTGGACCCTCGCCTCTGCCTGGTACGTCGCCAGCGGCCAGCTGTCCTCAGGTCGAGCAAATGCAACCGGCAGCGGGGGGTAATGACTGTCACCTCCAGTTCGGCGGCACCCCGATCCCGAGAAGTATCGCGCCAATCCCTGAACGCCAAATTTGGCCGGCTGGCCCGCATGGGAATCTGGTGACTGTAGCCCAACACCAAAACCCCCAGGCCAAGGGAGGCGAGATGGCTCCAGTTGATGCCATCGACGTGAAAGCTGGGCCATGGGCAACTCCTAAATAGTTGCACCACTTTTTGGCTCGAGCTCTCGCGAAGTGGGATACCCATTTGGTTGCTTGCTCCAATCTATGTGTCCTTGGAGTGAAGAAATGATCCATGGGACGCTACCGAAAACCCGGAGCTATCTTGAAAAGGACGCCAACCAGGCTTTCATCAAGAGGTTGGTGGATAAGCCAAAGGACTCGACATGGCACAAGCCCTCGTGCTTCAACCGCTCTTCTTCAAACAATATTTTGGCTTTAAGGGGGCCATGGTCCGTGTCCACTCTTTCCCTCTCAATCGCCTCTCTCAGGGTTCGCCAGGTACGTCCTTGTTAGATGTACGTCCTTGAAATGTTAGATGTGAGGGAATGAAGAGGCCCAACTGTTCGTGGCCGAAGCTGTGATCGCGGGAGAAACAACTGCTCCAGTCCTATCCCTTGAGTTTTTGACTTCTGAACCTCACATTTGGGCTTGCCCCGAAACCACTGGCGTGCGCACGGAGCGCAGAGGCTTTGCCCAAATACCCGCCTTTGGGTTTCCTTGTGGCCGCGACTGGTTGTCAGGTCCCCCATGGTGAAACAAAACGGGGAGAGGTTCACCATTTCGCCACGCTTGGGTCCCTGCCTGCATTGTCGCCCCGGGGCTGCCCTCGCACAGCAAAAAGGGAAAACTCGTCTGGATGTGTAGGGTTTGGGGAATCCCGATGCAGGAAACCAACAAGGAAACAACGCGTTTTGGGATCCCCTAGTTTTGAGTTTACAACCCAAAAGTCAAAAGTCAAAGCAATGGGAACGTAGGACGGATACGCCCCTTGTTTGATGAAGACCCCTTGCTTGATCTGCCAGGTAGTTATATTTGGGGTAACCTTAAGGCCCAATGCCCCTGGAACATGCTTGCTCAACGAGGAGGTCATGCCTGCTGTAGACACGCAAGAAAGTGTTGGCCCCGACCCGAAAAACGAAAGAACCGCCTACCCAGGGCTGGCCGAAAAACCAGGACCGAGTGGCGCGCAAGTGCTTCATATCCCCTGTTCGCTCCACGAGCCAGGAAAACCAACCAAACAAAAGCCAAAGGCCTGCAGGTCTCCACCCGAAACCGAAATCTGGCTCCAAACTGGATTTCAACATTTCAACAGCGGTTGCATGAAAAGCCAATGCAACAAGTGCCCTAGCGCGGGCGGGTGCTTGGGCACCTGGAAAATCCCTCGAATCCCGCCCACACAACAAATGAATCAGCCAAGTGCTTACACCATGAACAACTCCCACTTGGCTGGAAGGAAGCGGGTGCGACACCGAGGCTGACTGAAAAGAGTGAGCTGCAAACTTGCACCTTTGACCATTTCTACATCAGTAGCCTTGCTCCAAGATGACAATTGTGGAAGTGTTTGCCTGGAGCCCGAAGGGAATCAACGACTGAGCCTGGTTCGAGTACCTCTTGAAAAAACATCTGCAATATTTTAGCGAACTCTTGCGATGTGCACTCCAGGTGGGTTAGGTTCAGAAGTTCAGGAGGAGCGCAACCAAACGAGGAAACGGACCTTGAAAAGGCCTCCCAAAACAAAAAGCGGCACATCGAGAAACAAATGCTGCAAATGCAGCTCACCAGCTCCGTGGTTCTTCAACGAGTGTTCTAAGGAGACGTAAGCGCCATGGGGTCTGAGACGGCCCATGGAGTTCTCACAGACAGACCCACTGGACTCCAGCCTCACTTCCATGGATTGGCCAAAAGGAATCAGCCAAACGGCTTTGCCTCTAACCATGGCATGCCCAAAGCAAATGGCAAAGTCAAGACCTGGAGAAGTCGATTGGACCCGAACTCACGTCCACTCGAAATTCCCAGCCTTCGACAAGTCCGTGGAGGTGCACGCAGTGCACGGTGCTGACTGCTGCCTGCGTGCAGACTTTCACTGGTGAACTGCCTAAGTCGGCGGTGGGTCCAAAATTGGGCCACCTCATGGGTTGCCTGGCCCCCGGTGGTTTAACTTTCGTCCATACCCAGCTATTGCCCCACAAGCAGAAACAACTTATTGCCCCACCAGCTATTGCCCCGAATCTGACTAGGGTCCATGTTGATTGAGCCTTATGACAAAGGAGGTCCCTGTGACAGGGACGTGTCCAGGACGTATCCAAACAGCTCGGACCGTGGTAGAACACTTGTCCAAGCCAGGGGGTCATCTGAGTTGCTACTTCGAAGCCTCGCGGCAAACTGGGACATGAGGGATACATACATGGGGGGGGAAGCCAGGCCAACCATTTGGGTCAGGCCTAAACAGGCCACGCTTGCACTCCAACATCACCATTCAGACTTCGAAAGGTCCTTGATAATGTCAGCTTCGGATCAATGTCAAAGGCTCCTCGGACCAGTGGGTTCCTCCAAATTAATCCGAGGTCATTTCTTGCTCAGAGGCTTGGGGAGGCGGGTCCTCTGTGGACCCGATTCACCCATGGATGGTCGCTGAACCGAGAGGGGCTCCAAACAACCAGCTTCTTCACTGGGCCCAACCAAAGGTAAGACATTGGACATTGGAGTTGGGCCTATTTTGTTGCTGGATGGCTAAAATTATTGAAATGACACGCAATTTTCTGGTGATCAGGGGCAACATTGAGTGCAGCAACACACTACATTGCTGCGGGAAGATTTGCTACAGGCCGATGCAATGCTTTCTGTTCAGCCCGTGATTGTGGCATTGTTTCCGATGAGCAATGCTGGCGGGTTTCCAGCAAGTAGCTCGATCACTTGACGGGGCAAGGGAGCGAAATTGGCCCCTGACGACCCCTGATCACCACACCTACAAGGGACCCCCGTATTGACTTGTAAACAAGGCGCCATTGACGGACTGGGAGCAGAAAACGACGTTCTCTCTTTCAGAGACCTTTACCCATCCCTTGCGTTCCGCGGGCCTCCTCAGCCACTGCACCTGGGGAGGTGGGACCAATCTGCTCCGCTTGATTGATTCGGGTACCAAATAAACATGCTCACCATTCACAGCCATCTGAGGAAACCGAGAGGAAAAAACGCGTTTGATGAACGTTGAAGATTGGAGAAGAACATTGGAGGGTCGGTGAGGCCAGGCATTTGTTCTGGGAGGCACGAGTAAGACACCGTTCTGCATGTGACATAGGCACAGGTTTCGGACAGATATTTCACCATGCCCACCCTCCCTCGCACCCACACCACCCACCAACCCACCACTCGCCACCCGCCCACACCCACCCTCGCACCCACCCCCCGCCACCGCCCACCCTCCCAGCCCACCACCCACCCACCCTCCCCTCCAGCCACCCATCCACCAGCCGCCCACCCGCGCGCCGCGAGCGGCGTACACTAAAAGCCAAGCAAACCACGACTGCGTGTCCAGCAACCCCCCCAACCCCACAAAAACCAACGACAGAACACATGAAAACACAACATTTGCGACGCTTTCCGCATATGGCAACTGCTCTCGCTTGATCACAAGCATCCTCGCTATGTCGACTTTCCCTCAAAAACGACTCCCGGGAGGCCAACCGAAATGCTGTGCGTAACGGTATTTACGGTGTTCTTGGAAGGTTGAGCAAAATGGCATTGGGAGTCGGTGGCGGGGCCAGGGATGTCGGGGATGTTTTGGGGTCCAAATGTCTTTGCAGGGCTGGTGTCCGGATGATGCAGGGAATGCAAGGGATGCTGAGGAGCTTCAACAAAACACGTCAGCGGGCTCGAGGCCACACAGCGCAGCTGGATTCCATTGGGTTGGCGGCTTGTTGACCAAGCGAACCCTGATCTCCCCAAAGTCAACACGAACAGGTTTAGCTTCTGGGGCAGTCACCAAACCATTGCGCTGGCAATGGCAGCCACTGGACTTGTGGTCACAATGGTCCTTTAGTGCACCTCAAATGAACATATCCCAACTTTGATAGGGGCCCTGACAGGGGTTCTTCACTCGCCCCCGATGTTCCTTGAAATTCTAAACTTGAACGAATTCGAGGGGTGAATCGGTGAAGGCCAAACCTGCAGCTAAGTGGGGGGCTTCTCTCGGAGCCACAACCGTATTTCAGCCAGAGGGTTGACCAATGTGATGCCAAGTAAGTAAGTCCTTAACCGTGGTTCTGCCCCATATGTGTAGCCAGCTAGGGAAGATTCTCATTGCGAATAGCTAAAGCATCACCCAAAGTCCAGCAGTTGCCCATCCCCTTCTTGGCATTCTCAGCAAAACGCAATATGATTGGCTATGTGGCACCCAGTCAGAACCCCAAGCATCGCGCCAACCACTCATGTTTAGACCAGGTGGCGGCCTCGCACAGATCGCCACATGGATTGGGATACATGTCTGATTGGCTGGAGAGTCTATTCGGCCTCCAGTTTGCGGGATTTTGCTTTTGGGTTGGTGTCCCTTATTTCCGGTGGGAGGGAAGGTTCCTGTGGGTTGCGATCTAAGCCAATCTTGAGGAACACGCTGACTGGGCGAACATTGACCGTAAAAAAAGGAGGCCAATACGTGGCCCGATGTTGGCTCACCTTCCGGGTGCCTAGAAACCGAGTGAAGCGTTCGAATCGAATGAGGCACGGCCTTCTCGAGATTCTCGGCGTCGGCGTCGGAGTCGGAGTCGGAGTCGTCGTCCTGGGAAGGGAAAGACCACCTTTTGGGCTCCAGGCGGGTCGGACCAATTCCAGACCCTTTCGGGCTGCGGCACAAGGCACCAGGGTCCCACAAAAAGGTGTTCCTATATCTCATTACTGTGCAGAGTACTTGGGAGCACAATGCCAAGATGGTTGTGACCGTGGTGGGCGGGCTGGATTGGCAAGTGCGACACACAGACAGTCGCGCTTAATAAGAAGCAAATCGGCCATCTAGCATCTAGGACGTCCGGATGTCCAGGGATATGGACTGTGCTTCGGATTTGAGGCTAAGACTAGATTTGTTGAACCGTCGCCCAGCAAGTAAATCAACATGTTGGGTCCACGGGGGGGTTAGCCTTCTGCTTGCTCGCATCTTTCTTCACAGCTTCAGCATTCCAAGTTCGTGTACATGTTCGCTTGAGCGTGCTCGGTGTTCAACAAATCAAAATTCAATGGCCAACGATCAGGCTGTAATGAAATCTCAAGCCTGTGAAGCCACTACCAGCAAACTGTCTAAATACCAGGGATCAACTAGCCAGTAGTCTTGCAAATAAGATGAAACGCAGGGTTGCCCAGCCAAGCGCAGCGGCAATATGAAGCATATGGATGCGAATGCCCTCCCGGTAAAGGTCCGCATGAGCCCGGCGAACTGCGTGAGAACTCTACAATACGAAAGCAGTTCACAATTCACAGAAACATTCCCCCCCACCCCGCCCTCCCACCCACCCCACGCCAACGAGAAGGGAAAGCCGGAAAAGGCAACAGTGGCGCATAATCAAGATTTGATCACTGAAAAAGAAACAAATGTGTGATTTTCCCGGCTAACCCCCGCCCCCGTTGACGCAGCATGTTGTACAAACAAGAATGCCACAGATCTGTAGTAAAAGCAAATATTCATCCTGCCTAGCTAGCATGCCAAAATCCAAACCGCATTTCAATTACGCGACCTGCAATGCTGATGGGTGGTTTGGAGAGTTTGGGGGTGGTGTCCCATTGACCCTCTGCAAGAAACATGACCCACAAGAACCAGGGTTTCTAATCCCCAAGCCACCAATAACCTATCACAACCGACCTGGTCCAAGCAAAAAACAGACAACCGGCAAAAAACAACTCGCCCTTTGGAACTTTTATCGGGAAGCCCTTCCGAACCTTGGCTTCCTGTCCGCTAACCACTCCAGAGAAAAAAAAAGCGCCCCCCCCCCCCCAAAAAAAAAAAAAACGAAGAAAAAACACGTGAGAAGCAAGGAAGGACGAGGAAAACCCAAGACAACAGGACAAAACACGGAAACCGAGAAAACACCCAAAAAAAACACCCAAAAGAAAACAACCCAAAGAAAGAAAACACCAAGAAAACACCAAACCACCCGAAACAGAAGACACTGGCGGTTGATTTTTCATTTATCCATCGCGCCTCGGAGTCGAAGGCGTCGCTGGTGTCGTCCAGGTCCTGGTGGCCTGAGGCTTGGCTTGGCTTGGTTTGAAGGGATACCCTCCCACCAGCAAAAATGGTTTGGTGCACAGACCGTAGAAAGACGACGTTCCTCAAGAGGAAAGAGCTTCTTTTTTTTTGCACAAACCCATGGAAAAATTGGTGGGAGGGTATGTGTTGGTTCTGGTTTTTGCTGCTGCTTTTTTTGGAGAGGGGGGAGTTGCTTCCTCCTTATTTTTTGTGTTTGTGGGTGGGGGGGGGGTATTTCTTTTTTCGTTTCTTGTTTTGCGAGGGGAACGGGGGGGGGGGGAACGGGGGGGGGTCCGCAACTGTTTGACAGCCCAAATGAACTGATGGGCAATGGTTAAGCCAGACTTATTCACCTGATTAACGCAAAAAGTAAAGATATACATGGTTTGGAAGAATGCCCCTGCTAAAGACAGCCGCTGTTTGAGGGAAGCGCTCATGAGGCTGTGCTCTGAGACCGTGAAGGTGGAAATGTGCTTCCTTTCCGCTTCCCTTTAAGACCATCAACACAAGGGGTTTGCCTTTTTGAAAAACCCCCATATGAGTACATGTCCTCTATATACATGTGCTGAAGGAGTGTTTTGGGTCCTTTCAAGCTAACGTGAAGGGTGAGGGGTCTACAAGTTTGAGGCATACCATACCCATGCATCACCGGCCGAATCAAATGCCAAGGTGGTGATTGAAGCACGGGCCATTACATTGTTGCCTTGACACATGTCAGATTCCTCAGCCGCACTCTGCAAAATCCCTGAGACAAGCAATACTGACTGAGCACTGAGCCCTTGCTGCTTTGTCCCAGTTCAATTGTCATCAGTGTTTTCCGACGACAAGATGTTGTGCTTGCACAACTGCATCTTGGCATCGAATCGGGGGGTCAACATTCAAATGCCACCTATCAGCGGAAACACGAATCCAGTGCTGAATCTCTTCTGGCCGCTTTTGTAGCCAAACCACTGCCTCTTCAAGCCGAATGATTGTCTTTTTTCTTGGTAGGCCTGGTTTGTCCTACGGCTTTCATACCTTAGGGCAAACATCCCCAGCATCTGTATAGATCTGAATAGGCCTGGCTGAGCCGCATTTCCAATTCTAGCCGGTGGTTTGTTTCCATGATACTGTGGATGAACAAAATCCTGCACGACCTAAGCACTGGAATGATTCGATTCCCTTTCAAATACCAACAAAGCCTTCTGGTTTCAGCCATGGTTTCATGCGTTTTATCCAAAATTTCCGCACAGCTTCCATAGCTTCGCCCAGATTTCCATAGCTTTTGGAGATCTTCAGAGAGGCTTGGACCCATAGGCGGCCTTTTGAAAAAATAAATGGCCCTGGTAAATGGAAGAAACCCCATCTATTTTTCACCAAATTAGCCGATCAAAAGGGACACCTATAATTGGACCCCCTGGGCAACCCAGACCCCAGCCCCCACCCTCCCCCCCCTCCCCCCCTCCCCTCCCCTCCCCCAAACCCCCCAAACCCCCCGGCCCCTCGGCAATCGGCAACCCCGGGCCACGGGGCCTGGGCTCTTCAGCTCGCAGTCCGCGAGGCGCTGGCCCGGCATGAAGTTCACCGTGGCGCCGTCCTCAGGCGCTCGAGGGGCGCGGGAGGCTCGGGAGAGCGCGGGTCCCAAGAGTGGGACTCCAATGCGGCCGGAAAGGTAGGAAGGGGGAGGGGGAGGGGGAGGGGGAAGGGGAAGGCGGGGGTGCGGTGGGTAGTGTAGTGGGACAGGGTGGGGAAAAAGAGTGGAAAGGTTGCAGAATGTGAAGCAAAGTGTGGGCGCTCTCTCTCTCTCTCTCTCTCTCTCTCTCTCTCTCTCTCTCTCTCTCTCTCTCTCTCTCTCTCTCTTTGAATCACTTCTTGACAGAGTCCGAAAGAGGCCCAAAATCCCGTACCCCAGTGAACATCCCAATCCCCACTAAAATAGGTCCTAAAATGGGTGAATTCACCAATCCCGTTTAACGGTTTTGACCACAGCCAAATGACAACGGAGTCTGAAAACCCAACCCAACCCTGGGACCAACGCTCATCCGCAACCGGATCCGGCTTTTCACCTGCGAGTCCAAAGGCCCTGACGAATAGAATTCGCATTCGGACGAAGCGAAAAGCGAGGGCTGGCGGCATCCGCAACATGTGCAACTGTGCGAATTCCTGGCTATCGTTCCGAAACGGTGACTCAATAAGTTCCACCTAAAAAAAAACCTTTAAATCACTCCGAAGTAACGGTGACTCAAGCGAGTGATACCAATGACCTGACACATCCCGCCAAGTGGTGGAAACGCCAAAGCACCTTCAACTTCCCGAAGAGGACTATATATATATAACAGACATGTACAAAGTTTGCGCAGTCCTTTATTTATGCATCTGTTTGTTTAAGTAGTTTAATCAACTGATTGAGTTGTGTTTCTATTTATTTAGTTATCTATTTACTAACGCAGTCTTGCTATGTTTGTGTTTATTGATGTGGCTATTGTTTGATGATTTTTGGGTTTGTGTGTTTGTTATTGATTCGTTTATTTCATGTTCTAGGTATTCACCCCCATGCTCGCTTGCAGGGCAGTCGCTTGGCTGGTTTCCCCATCTCCAAGCTTGGGCGGTGTCTGAAGGGCACACAAGTTGCGACTGGAAATCCAGGCAATGCATGGGCCATTGAATATGCGCCCCTCTCATGGTTTGTTTCGTTTAAAAGCAGGTAGCGCTCCCAAGACCCTTAAGTGGAGTCATGTACCCATACTTCACTGATCAGGCAACTGATTTTTGAGGGTGATGTAGACTGCGGGTTCTTACGCCTAGCCACATGCCCGCCCAACGTCCAACCGGTTCCACTAAATTGACATCCTCAGAATTGACGCCTAAATGTGGCTATGGGTCAAAACCCCGTCCCCCCAGTGAACATCCCAATCCCTGCTAAAATAGACTAAAATGGGTGGTGCACCTCCCCCAAAATGGGATCCCATTGGTGTTGACCCACGGCCATGTGGCTTCAAGGGAAACTTCCGAAAGAATGGACACCCGCGGAGAGCCGGGGCGCGTAGATTCCCCGAACTTTGAAGAGGTGAAGCTGATCGTCCTCCAACTGCTGACCCATGACGAAGAGCTTCGCCTCGTTGATACTTTGTGTGACTCGGACCCTTAGCCTCTACTCCAACTGCGCTTCAACACGGTACAGTTTGGCCGGGGGTGATTGATATCATACCATGCAAAGAATGGACATGTGGAGTAGTGGGTCTGACAGCGAGTCCTTACAACGCAAAATGGGTGCCTTCCCTCCGATTTGCTGGAATGAGAAGCTGCCAAAACCAGGGCGCCCGTCCAATGATGGCAGACTCATGTCGGTCTCTCCTGTTCAAACATCCGCCCTCTTGACAAACCTGCCATCCAACCTGGGTCCTGGGTCCCTTTTGGGGGAAATTTGCTTCCCTACCCGCCCGCCTGTTGAAGCATACCAAAGATAACTCCCGAATGGCATGAGCTCTTCCCCCACAAACAAAAAAGAAACGTATATGCATCTCAAGTAACGGAAACTTGTTTTGTCGGGCGCTTCTCGTTTTCATGTGACTTTTTGCAGAAAGCTCCCGAGACCTCTCGGGAAACGTGTCTTCCTTGAGTTTGACTGAGACCCAAAATGGGCGGTGTTGTCATTGGCTTCCATTCGCACACTCCCCAAAAGGTAGCCTCAAAATATATTTGAGCATGAACTGTTCGGCCCATGTTGATTGAGATGTTCTTCTCTGGGATGATGTCAAAAGGGACAAGGAACCTGCCCAACTTAGATTGAAATTTTAGAATGGCGCCCCAGAAATGAACCCCTTCAAAGGGCCTCACCCGGCAACTGCCACGCCTTGCGCCTGCAAAGCAGCACCGGGAAGCGGCCTCGGGTGGCTTTTTCCAGCGGTTGGTCCGAGGGACTTTCGTTCGCTTTTGGACCCCCGCGCTGGAGCTCGGACCCATCGTCGGACCTCCATGTTGATTGACGTTTGCCTCATGGGCCCACGAAACAGGCTGGTGGACAAACCAGGGCCCCTGTCTTCTCCCTTTAGATTGCTCCGAAGCGGAAGCAACATGCTTGAAATATTGGTCATTGATCATATCCGTACATTGATTCGCTAGCAGCGAAATGTACACAAACCCGCAATCAGAACTGCTCCCGCCCATGTGGTGTAGTTTTATGAAGTTGAGAGGTACAAGTCTTCAACTCATGGTCCAGTGTACGCAAGGAACACCAGGGTACGTGCACCATGAGCAAACTTGTATTTAAGTCTTGCGGTTTTGCTGCAGCTTACATGGAACTACACTCACTCTCCCCGAGAATTTCTGGACCTTCAATTGTGAGATTGGCTTGCGCCAACCAATCCGCTGCTCCAAGCTTCAAAGGCGACTAGTCAAATGTGTGTCCCTCTGTCGAACCCCAAAATGGGTACACTCCATCAGACTAACATGGAAGCTCCCACCAGAAGGTCTCTGTAAATGGGACCAAGTGACCAAGTCTTCCAAAGGGGTCCTGGGAGCTTCCTATGTTAGTCTGGGAGAGGGTACCTGAAGCGCGCGCATGTTGGAAGAACAAATCTGTCCGCAGCGGTCCAGTTAACACCTTGCCTTTGGGAGGGTAAACAGTATCCGAGATTATTCGCCGACCAAAGAGGCCTGAAATCCAATCCTATTTGATCTCTCATCCTAGCCACGAATAATAGTATATATATATATACATGCAAAAAATATATATATATATATACACATACACTATCTGTACATATATATATATATAGTTCCCGTCTCTTTACTGTGCTACACCGTCTGCCTCTACGCGCGTTGCGCTGCACCCCTCTCCCCCGCCATCCGCTCACCGAAACATCTCCACATCTCCAAGCAAGGCGCGGTGCGTCGCCTCGCGGAGCTCGCCCACCGTCACCTGGCGCCGCCCGTTTCCCGTGGGAAGTGGCGGTTGCCTAGGTGGCCTTTTGGAAAAATAGATGGGTTTCCCTGGTAAATAACAAAATCCATCTAAACCAGTGCAACCCATCTATTTTAGCCACACTCACCTAAAAAGGACGCCTATGGGCAGTTTCTCGTGGAGTTTGGTACCTGGGGTTGGACTTTCAAAGAATTTCGGCACCTATCTGAGTTTATTTTGGTGCAATTCCATTCAATCCATTTAATTGGGTGCTCCTTTTTGTGCCCAGTTGGGTATGCCCTTGTCCCCAGCTGGAAGCTATAGAGTCAATAGGCCCAGAGCAACTTTCAGGAGGGTTCCGAAAATTCCAGGGGTCCGGGGCTGTTGGGTACCACCTGGGCTTAATTATTGTTAGGGTCATGCCCCTTTATGGATAGGTATTGAACTTGATGATTTCCCGTGCTGAAGGCAAACCGTGGGTGCGTAGGGTTTTCCTGGTTTCCCTTTGAACCCCAGGGGGTCACCAATTTGAAAACAAAAAACGTTTCAAAACCTGGTGCTGAAGTGTTCTACCCGAAGCACCAGATGAATCAAAAGTTACGCACCTGCGTATATGGGACTTCCCCTTACTAACCCTCAATTCGGATTTTGAGTCAATGTTGTCTTAGGAGTACCCTTGTTCAGATGCATTGAATACAGATATGGGGAGAAGTCGTAGCTTGTTGAGGTCTTCAAGACACCTCCCTGTACGGGTTGATGGGAGATGGTCTCAACATCAAACATTCAGCAGTGCGGTGTTTGCCATTCCGCCACAAACCACCGCATCCCGCTTTAGCAAACTCCTGCACCACCTAGACCCCAAGCAATCTCTCTTTCTCTCCTGGCTCTGACTCGTGAAATCTGCGGAGCTGGCAAGAAGCTTCTGCCGTTTCTGAGCCCAAGGTTGGAGAAGCCGCTGAGTCGCAGTTTCCACGACCCTGACTGATCACAACGCCTTCACAAGCTTCAAGAGCAGTCCGTTCCTCGCCAAATCCCGAGCCTCCATGAGGGGTGCTGCTTCCACAAGGGGTAAAACCTAGAAGGTAGAAACCAACAAATGCTTGTTGTTTGTTGGGGCCCATGTGGAGCCCCTGTCAATCCGCACAACTCAACAGCAAGCCGGAAACCTGTGCGACCGCCCAGGGGCCGGCGCCCGGCGACTGGCCTGGCCAGCGCAGTCGAAGTAGAGGGGCCGCTCCGCGCCCGTCTTCATTTCACGGAGCCGGAGCCTGGTGACTCAAAACGGCATCTGCGCAAACACCGGACCACCGGACCACCCCAAAACGGGCGCTTTCCGTAGACTTCCTCTAAACTTTAAGCCTCCGAAAAGAGGAACCAAAAACCGCACGGCCACATGCAAGAGAAGTATATCGTCTCTTTATTTCGGGGACCCCCAAACCGGGCCAGGCGACAACGAAGGACTCACCCAAAGGGTCCCCACAGAAATTCATGGCTGTACCCAAGTCTCCCGTAAACCCCCGCTGAGCCCGGAGAAGCAGGCATAGAGCCATGCCTCTCGATCCAAGTCTGCTTTCATGGCAGTCCCTTCTAGTTCATTCATGGAAGCCTGGTCAGACAAATGGGAAACATGCGTTCCTATAATTCCTTCCGTAAGGCGACCTCTTGCACAGCATGTCACCTCGTCCTTGCTCGCCACGAAGGCAACCCCTCTGTATCTGGGTCAAAAGTGCCCCCCCCCACCCACCCACCCAAACAAAGAAAAAGGAGCCTCCGTCTCGAATTTCAAGAATTTCACTAGCAAAATTAGTTAAACATGAAAAACAACACAGGCTAGTAGAACTCAACGTAACGATCGTGGAATGAAAGGTATGAGCAATGCTCTCGCCGAAACAAACCTGGCAGTACACAGACCCTTTGGAAGACTACCGCTTGCTTGGGAAATAGGCTTGCACTTCCATGTTTGCAAGAGGAGAAGGAATCTTACGATCTTCCCAACAAGCCCAAAAAGGGCTGGTATAGTTGGTTTCATCTTGAGCCGTTGTCCTTCAATATGGTTGGTTTCATATTGGACCATTTTCGCCTAGGATCCCTGTGGCACGTGAAAAACGAGCGAGCCAGCGAAGGAAACAGAAAGCGAGGCGCGAGAGCGGTAGCTTCACATCCAGCGCGTTTCCAGGATGGCCCAGTCCCACGGCCGCTGGCAGGTTCGCCGCCAGCTGGGGCGCCTCAAAGAAGTCCGTGCCGGGTTGCCGGGTGCTACATACCGTGAATGGTTGCGAAATCCGCTTCGCACCACCTAAGGATGCCATGGTTACAACCATTGTTTTTGTTCGGTATTTGTAGGCGAATTGAATCATTCCAGGGTTTCTTTGGTGGCGCGAAATGGGTTTTGTCCATCCACAGTGGGGGGCCAGGCGTGTGATGCTCGGTTTGGAAACCTCAGGGTTCTGAGTAAGAATCCCCCCGAAGGACTTTTGGTTTTGGCAACGAGTCTTCCATGTCGGCAAGTTCTCCAGCTTTTTGTACATCGCAAAACATGATGCTTAAAATGGCTGATGAGGGACGTTGAAACCTGCAAGCTCACAAATCTTCGGTTGGGCAGGGAAAAGGCCTGCTTGCTGGTCATATAGCGGTGAGACCGGTGTTACATTGTGTGATTCGGGCACGGACCTGTTCCCCAGGCAATTGGAAAAGTTGGGGTAAACAAACCACAAAAGAAAGGCTCCAAAACAGCAACCAATCCTCGGCCCAAAGATCAGGGTTTTCCCACACACAAGTGACCAAACAACCACAGTCGTAGGTCACAAGCACGCAGGAAAGTCCTACGGCTGATAACCTGTGATTCGGGCACGGACCTGTGCCCAGGCAACTGGAAAAGTTGGGGTAAACAAGCCACAAAAGAAAGGCCCGAAAACAGCAACCAATTTTCTGGTCCGAAAGATCAGGGTTTCCCACACACACACACACAAGTGACCAAACAACCACAATCCAAACCAAAAGGGAAAAGGATACTCGCAACCTGGGTCGACGATGAGCCGCACGGGCACTCCCCACCAACCTGCCCCGGGCCGAAGTCTCTTTCTCCTCCGACACGTGGGTGATCAACGTGGGGACCCGGCGACGCTCATCCGAGGTTGCAACGGATCCGAACTTGAGCCAAATGCCAACGGATGGTTGCTATCGCATCACCTCCGAATGACATTCAAAGACATGGCCAAGCACACATTGAAAGGTCAAACCCCAAATCGGACATGGCTCCGGGGAATAACCATCTTCAGGAAGCTCTGCGACTCCTATGCGGTGACCCCCGCAGAATGCATTGGCGAACTCGAAGGACGAACTGTTGGGTGAAATGGACTAAAGATGGATTCCCTGAATATTAAGTGAACCAACCAGGTTCAACCACAGGACCCAGAACACGCATTGGTGGGTGCATCAGGAAATGCCAGCCTGTCCATTGTTGCAGCTGTACTTTTGGTTTCCGGATAAAGCAACCTCAAAAAGGGTTGCTTCATCACCCTAAAAACACACACCCAAACGGTTTCTCTTTAAAACAAACCGTCGGTGTCCTTTGGTTTCCCATTCCACCAACCCCAAAAAACCGTGCCGGACCACTTCGCCTCGAAAACACCCGACGCTCGCGACTCTTTTTTCGCCGCGGCGCCATCTTCTCGAAGAACTGGGCCTCGCTGATGGAGTCGCTCTCCCGCAGCCCCAGCTCCATGAGGAAGGACCTCGCCACCGCCTCCTCCGAAAACAGGCATCGGCCCAGCGGGAAGTAACGGGGCGCGTGCCTTTTTTGAAGAGCTCTTTTTGAGGTGCATGGTTGTTTTTAATGGAGGCGAAAGGAAAACGGGAGATTTGTGAAAGTCGCGGGTTTGGAGTGGGGAGAGGATTTCTCAAATCGAAAGAAAGTGCCCGAAAGGGCACACATCAGCCACAAATCTTGTCAGTAGATGCATCCAGGCATGGCTCAACAGAGCCCAAATCAGCAGATAAATTTGTCAATAATTGCATCCAGGCAGGGCTCAACAGAGTGGTTCCCCTTTCGTAATTCTCATCATGATTGTGAGATTGTTTTTATGTATTCACAGGTGCATGAAAAGTCCCTGCCAACCTCAAGTAAAGGTGTCTTTCACCCTGGTACACATGAGCCATGATCAAAATAGGGGACCCTCCAAATGGTGAACCGTTTCCCTTTACGAATCCCTTTTGAACCACACAACGGGGCTCGGAGCTTCAAAACCGAGACACGCACGCACATGCCAGGGGAGCAGTGCTCAAAACATCGACTTTGGGCTCCACCAGGAAGGTTTATATAGGCCTTACTATGTATGCATATATATATATATGTATAAGGTCATCAGGTGTTTACACAGTTAGTTCCACTTTAACAACTGTGTATATATATATATATGTATAAGACCTGGGAGTAGAACCCACCCAAATCTGTCAATGCTTGAGTGGTGTCCTTCGTGGCGGCGTCCGCAGTCTTTGCCAGCGCGGTGTGGAAAGTTGTCACCACCGCCAGACGCAGCGTGGCAGAGTCCAGGTAGCCTCCACGAACAAAAATCCAAGCGATCCAAAGGCTCAGTTGGCTGTGGCTTTTTTCAAAGGACCCCCCGGAAATGGCTCAAACCAGCAATAGCCTCAATCCAAGGACTGCTTGTGCCCCACCCTTCCCCCCCCCCCCGATGGCCCAGGCTCGGCGGGTTCAACCGCGCCTTGCTTCTGAGAGTCCCAGAAGTGGAACCAAGACAGCAGCTCCTCCTGAACCACCGGAGCCGGGTGACATGGGGTTACTTAGAGGCACCCAGGCAGTGACCCCAGTGGCCCATTGCTTCACCCGGCAGATCGACTGCCACATTCAGGGCGCTGGAGACTCGCTGAAAGTCGCGGCCGACCCAGCACCGCGCCATCCGGCGGTCGAATTGGAAAAGGACTAAATGAACCTGTCAGAGATCAAAAACGTGCAGCCTCACGTGCAATCCGTCCCGTTCGAGCCTCGACTCTAGCATATCCAGGAGGGGGGAGTACCAGTTAGCTTGGCGTGTCATGTTGTTACAGCCGGTTTTCAGAGAAATAGAAACATTTTGCCTGGGCAATGGGTAACATCCTCACCAGGGAATTGCTTGCGACCTTATCTCAGGTCAGCCACTGTTGGTGGTGAGGCTGGTTCCTTTTGTTGCTCCGAAATGTGACTTGAAGGGCATGCGGCTGGGAGAGAACGACCAAGTATCACTGAAACTCATCACCCCAGGCCCCCCAACCCCCCCCCCCCCCCCGGCGACCCGGAGCAAAAGCCGAAGGCCTCCCCCGATGCGAAGCCATGAACAAAGGTAGCATGGAAATGTCGTGAGGCCTGGAACCCTAGGCAAAGCGGGTGTTTGGGGTGGCATGTTGGCTACAATGTTCCCCTTCAAAGCCACTCCAAAAGAGGCCCCAAGAAAAAGATTACACACTTCGGGGACCCCTGGATAGGAACCCCGCAATGCTGTGGATGGGCCAAATCCTAGTTTTTGGCCCAGTTCTCATGCCGGTCGGCATGGATTTTGGCCCATGTATAAATGTTGGCTTGGGACTCGGAACTTAACCATTGGGTTGCTATTTATTGGGACACTGCTTAAGGAAACTCCCCCAGCCATGTAGCTAGTTTGTGCCCTCATTTTCCGACAGGCTGATATGGTATGCAGCATCCTATCGCCAAACCAGGCGATCAATGCTCGTTGGGAGTCATGGACGCCGCTTGGTCCTTTGGGCACGAGTCCAGACCCAGCGCTCTCGATTGCAAATGCAAAGGCGCTTCCGGTTGAAACCAGGTACCAAGTGAATATCGATTGAATTGTTGCTCTTGTTTCTGCCAGTCATCAGCCAGAAACTGCAAACATCCACACTTCCTGCGGCACAGCCTTGGCACGCCTGCGCGGAAGGAGCGGAAATCAGCCAACGACTTTGGTTGGGCTGCAGTCCACTGTTTGCTTCCACAACAACCAGAAGTAGCACCTCCAGTGCCGGAGTGGCGGCCCTGCCAATGGCACTTGTGGGCAAGGCCTCCGGCTGAGAGAAGCCAGCCGATTTTGACTGGCGCAAACATCTACCAGCAAGCGAAGACAAGCTTGCCTCGCATCTCACTGCATGGTACGCCTCAAATGGTCATCGAGTGCTCCTTCGATAAGATCTCGAAATTCTATCGCCGCTTGACTGCAGCATTTTGTGCTCCACGCTGACAGGCTGTCCGCCCCTTTCACTGCAGGCAGCAAGTCTGCCGGAGGAGCATCACAAGATGCGCGAGTCAGAAACAAACCTTTGGACTGCGCTCGAACAGACATGCCTCCTCAAACACCCCCCACTCCCCACAACATAAAGCGAAAGGCCAGGGAGCGCAAGAGCGCAAGCACGCCAGTCGGGGCGAACACCATCCAAAGACGTGTCTAAACACTGGCACTATCATCTCACACCAACTTGGGAACACAATGGCATCGTAGCGCCGTGCGCGCAAGAAATGGGTGCTTAAGTGGATCGCATCATAGTACTGATACTAATTTGGCATCAAGCTCTCTGAAAGCCACAGAAGCAGCAGAAGCCGCAATCAAGCAACCAAAGCCAAAAGCAAGAAGTGGCTGAAACCTTTGAAAGAATGTGAGGGCTGGTAGCGCGGCAACTGCAAACATGCACACGTACCCTTGCATCCTATCGCCAAACCAGGCGATCAATTTTTGATTGGGGGTCATGGATTCCGCGTGGCCCTTTGGGCACGAGTCCAGACCCAGCCCGGTTGCAACCAGGTACCAAGTGAATAGCGATTGAATTGTTGCTCTTGTTTCTGCCAACCACCAGCCAGAAACTGCAAACATCCACACTTCCTGCGGCACAGCCTTGGCACGCCTGCGCGGAAGCAACGGAAATCAGCCAACGACTTTGGTTGGGCTGCAGTCCACTGTTTGCTTCCACAACAACCAGAAGTAGCACCTCCAGTGCCGGAGTGGCGGCCCTGCCAATGGCACTTGTGGGCAAGGCCTCCGGCTGAGAGAAGCCAGCCGATTTTGACAGGCGCAAACATCTACCAGCAAGCGAAGACAAGCTTGCCTCGCATCTCACTGCATGGTACGCCTCAAATGGTCATCGAGTGCTCCTTCGATAAGATCTCGAAATTCTATCACCGCTTGACTGCAGCAGTTTGTGCTCCGCGCTGACAGGCTGTCCGCCCCTTTTACTGCAATTCAGTCAAGGGAACGCGGCGTGCTCAGCCGTTTCTAGGCAGCAAGTCTGCCGGAGAAGCATTATAAGATGTGTCAGTTAGAAACAAAGCTTTGGATTGCGCTCGAATAGACATGTTTCTTTAAACACCCCCCCACTCCCCACAACATAAAGCGAAAGGCCAGGGAGCGCAAGAGCGCAAGCACGCCAGTCGGGGCGAACACCATCCAAAGACGTGTCTAAACACTGGCACTATCATCTCACACCAACTTGGGAACACAATGGCATCGTAGCGCCGTGCGCGCAAGAAATGGGTGCTTAAGTGGATCGCATCATAGTACTGATACTAATTTGGCATCAAGCTCTCTGAAAGCCACAGAAGCTGCAGAGCCGCAATCAAGCAACCAAAGCCAAAAGCAAGAAGTGGCTGAAACCTTTCAAAAAAAATGTGAGGGCTGGTAGCGCGGCAACTGCAAACATGCACACGTACCCTTGCATCCTATCGCCAAACCAGGCGATCAATTTTTGATTGGGAGTCATGGATTCCGCGTGGCCCTTTGGGCACGAGTCCAGACCCAACCCGGTTGCAACCAGGTACCAAGTGAATATCGATTGAATTGTTGCTCTTGTTTCTGCCAACCACCAGCCAGAAACTGCAAACATCCACACTTCCTGCGGCACAGCCTTGGCACGCCTGCGCGGAAGCAACGGAAATCAGCCAACGACTTTGGTTGGGCTGCAGTCCACTGTTTGCTTCCACAACAACCAGAAGTAGCACCTCCAGTGCCGGAGTGGCGGCCCTGCCAATGGCACTTGTGGGCAAGGCCTCCGGCTGAGAGAAGCCAGCCCAACTCGACATCGATTTTGACTGGCGCAAACATCTGCCAGCAAACGAAGACAAGCTTGCCTCGCATCTCACTGCATGGTACGCCTCAAATGGTCAGCGATTGCTCCTTCAAGAAGATCTCGAAATTCTATCACCGCTTGACTGCAGCATTTTGTGCTCCGCGCTGACAGGCTGTCTGCCCCTTTTACTGCAATTCAGTCAAGGGAACGCGGCGTGCTCAGCCGTTTCTAGGCAACAAGTCTGCCGGAGAAGCATCACAAGATGCGCCAGTCAGAAACAAAGCTTTGGACTGCGCTCGAACAGACATGCCTCCTCAAACACCCCCCACTCCCCACAACATAAAGCGAAAGGCCAGGGAGCGCAAGAGCGCAAGCACGCCAGTCGGGGCGAACACCATCCAAAGACGTGTCTAAACACTGGCACTATCATCTCACACCAACTTGGGAACATGGTGAAATTGTAGCGCCGTGCAAATGCTGTCGAAAGCTGCCCTTCTGCCTGCTCACTCTTACATGTCTATCGTTATTCATATGCCAGCTTGACTCTCAAGCTCCCAAAAATCCAGTGGCTTTGCCTGGCTTGACACAAGTGCCAGATCAACAAGCAGCATTCGAACTGCCACCAAAGGTGGCGGCACTGCGCGCAAGAAATGGGTGCTTAAGTGGATGGCATCATAGTACTGATACTAATTTGGCATCAAGCTCTCTGAAAGCCACAGAAGCTGCAGAGCCGCAATCAAGCAACCAAAGCCACAAGCAAGAAGTGGCTGAAACCTTTGAAAGAATGTGAGGGCTGGTAGCGCGGCAACTGCAAACATGCACACGTCCTGCAGAGCAGCGTCGGCAGGCTGATCACGTACCCTTACATCCTATCGCCAAACCAGACCATCAATGTTCAGTGGGAGTCATGGACGCCGCTCGGCGCTTTGGGCACGAGTCCAGACCCAGCGCTCTCGATTGCAAATGCAGAGCGCTTCTGGTTGAAACCAGGTACCAAGTGAATATCGATTGAATTGTTGCTCTTGTTTCTGCCAGTCATCAGCCAGACAATGCAAACATCCACACTTCCTGCGGCACAGCCTTGGCACGCCTGCGCGGAAGGAACGGAAATCAGCCAACGACTTTGGTTGGGCTGCAGTCCACTGTTTGCGTCCACAACAACCAGAAGTAGCACCTCCAGTGCCGGAGTGGCGGCCCTGCCAATGGCACTTGTGGGCAATGCCCCCGGCTGAGAGAAGCCAGCCCAACTCGACATCGATTTTGACTGGCGCAAACATCTGCCAGCAAACGAAGACAAGCTTGCCTCGCATCTCACTGCATGGTACGCCTCAAATGGTCAGCGATTGCTCCTTCAAGAAGATCTCGAAATTCTATCACCGCTTGACTGCAGCATTTTGTGCTCCGCGCTGACAGGGCCCCTTTCACTGCAATTCAGTCAAGGGAACGCGGCGTGCTCAGCCGTTTCTAGGCAGCAAGTCTGCCAGAGAAGCATCACAAGAAGCGCGAGTCAGAAACAAAGCTTTGGACTGCGCTCGAACAGACATGCCTCCTCAAACACCCCCCACTCCCCACAACATAAAGCGAAAGGCCAGGGAGCGCAAGAGCGCAAGCACGCCAGTCGGGGCGAACATCATCCAAAGACGTGTCTAAACGCTGGCACTATCATCTCACACCAACTTGGGAACACGATGGCATCGTAGCGCCGTGCGCGCAAGAAATGGGTGCTTAAGTGGATCGCATCATAGTACTGATACTAATTTGGCATCAAGCTCTCTGAAAGCCACAGAAGCTGCAGAGCCGCAATCAAGCAACCAAAGCCACAAGCAAGAAGTGGCTGAAACCTTTGAAAGAATGTGAGGGCTGGTAGCGCGGCAACTGCAAACATGCACACGTCCTGCGGAGCAGCGTCGGCAGGCTGATCACGTACCCTTACATCCTATCGCCAAACCAGACCATCAATGTTCAGTGGGAGTCATGGACGCCGCTCGGCGCTTTGGGCACGAGTCCAGACCCAGCGCTCTCGATTGCAAATGCAGAGCGCTTCTGGTTGAAACCAGGTACCAAGTGAATATCGATTGAATTGTTGCTCTTGTTTCTGCCAGTCATCAGCCAGACAATGCAAACATCCACACTTCCTGCGGCACAGCCTTGGCACGCCTGCGCGGAAGGAACGGAAATCAGCCAACGCCTTTGGTTGGGCTGCAGTCCACTGTTTGCTTCCACAACAACCAGAAGTAGCACCTCCAGTGCCGGAGTGGCGGCCCTGCCAATGGCACTTGTGGGCAATGCCCCCGGCTGAGAAAAGCCAGCCCAACTCGACATCGATTTTGACTGGCGCAAAAACATCTGCCAGCAAACGAAGACAAGCTTGCCTCGCATTTCACTGCATGGTACGCCTCAAATGGTCAGCGATTGCTCCTTCAAGAAGATCTCGAAATTCTATCACCGCTTGACTGCAGCATTTTGTGCTCCGCGCTGACAGGCTGTCCGCCCCTTTCACTGCAATTCAGTCAAGGGAACGCGGCGTGCTCAGCCGTTTCTAGGCAGCAAGTCTGCCAGAGAAGCATCACAAGATGCGCGAGTCAGAAACAAAGCTTTGGACTGCGCTCGAACAGACATGCCTCCTCAAACACCCCCCACTCCCCACAACATAAAGCGAAAGGCCAGGGAGCGCAAGAGCGCAAGCACGCCAGTCGGGGCGAACATCATCCAAAGACGTGTCTAAACGCTGGCACTATCATCTCACACCAACTTGGGAACACGATGGCATCGTAGCGCCGTGCGCTCAAGAAATGGGTGCTTAAGTGGATCGCATCATAGTACTGATACTAATTTGGCATCAAGCTCTCTGAAAGCCACAGAAGCTGCAGAGCCGCAATCAAGCAACCAAAGCCACAAGCAAGAAGTGGCTGAAACCTTTGAAAGAATGTGAGGGCTGGTAGCGCGGCAACTGCAAACATGCACACGTCCTGCAGAGCAGCGTCGGCAGGCTGATCACGTACCCTTACATCCTATCGCCAAACCAGACCATCAATGTTCCGTGGGAGTTGTAGACGGTGCGTAGCTCTCTGGGCACGAGGCAAGACCCAGCGCTCTCGATTGCTAATGCGGAGCTCTTCCGGTTGAAACCCAGGTATCAAGAAGTGAAGAGCGATTGAACTCTGTTGGATTCGCATGTTTGTGCATAACTTCATTAGTGCGGTTGCCTGCATCCTTTGCGCTGTCGAAGCTTGCCAGGCCACCACGAAATCAGACTGTCAACGGCCTTACCCTCAAGGAGCCTGGTATGGTCTTGAAGCATCTGAGTGCGACGACTGCGTGAGCATTTCCGTCTGGACTTACGCCCCGCCAATAGTCTCAAAAGGGCGCGATGTCCCAGTGACCTTGACACGGGACACTGCCTGCCAGGATTTTAAAGTCCGAGTTTCCAGAAGAACCCAATAGGCTTGGACCAATACGGAAGAAACTAACTCTGGCGAGCATGCGCATGGGAACGGGACTGGCCATGTTGCAACTGGATTGCCTCCGTTTCAGAACCCTTTTGCTTCTACGGACCAGGATGCGGATAGCCCACGCTGGACCCAGAGTATGCACAAAAGGTGGCTGGGAAGCGACCGAAAGTCAGGCAGCATCCAATGAGTCGGGCTGCACAGGACAAGGGGTTCGGATTTGAAGTCGCGCCTCGGATGAAAAGCTGATGGCTGCGTGGAAGCACGCACATGCAAGTGGCAAGCAAGTGTCCACACAAATGCTGGTTATCACAAGCTGCTCTTCTGAACTTGCAACTCGCTGCCTGCACACATACCGTGGAAATGTTCTTGCCCCGTGGCCATAGGTCACAGTTTGAAGTTGGCAGCTAGCATTCAGGTTGCGTTGCTGCACAGCCCCAAGACACCAAGGATGGACCCCGATGTTACCCAAGTCCACAGCCAGAGTTCAAGTTAGGGAAGAAAGCATGACTGAGGGTGATGCTGGACTGGGAAACCGGTCAGCGTCTCAGATTTCGGCTCCCAGAATGTCACCCTTAGCAAACCAGAGCAGGCACGGCTCACCCCGAAACTGATCCAGTGCTCTGGCCGCTTCATGATCATCCGTGCCCCATGCCTGGCTGTGATCCCAAAGGATGTTAGTGTAATGACCTGAAAGCATAGTGCGACCATGATGGACCGTGCGCCTCACAGTTCCATGCACGTATGCAACATCCAAGGGCAACACTTTGAGTGTGGATCCTTGATCAGTCTGGACCACCTGACCATCCACAAGACGCTTTGACCCACCGAAGCTCATGTCAACTTGCGCACCCCTGAGCAGACAGGCAAGCTCCGAATAGCAATTCGCATAGGGGGTAATGGAAAATCCAGTCTGGAAGGAGTCGGGTCGCTTTGTGGGGTATGTCACACATTCGCAATCAAGCTGGGACCTTGACATCACTGCCCTGCGAATGACCAAAGGCCTCATAGCGTGGTTCTGTCTGCACTTCTGGCAACGGATGCGGCGTAGCCAAAGCCAAAGCGGCCAGGGCCTGACTCGAGCGCCGTCTCCACTCGGGATGACCAGCCGCGACAGCTCTAAGATGGAAAGGTGCGGCTGTGTAGACCTCCCAACCGCAATACGTCGAGCACGACCACACAAGCCAGCTTCGTGCTGATTGTGGCTGAAAACTTTGAGGCCCCGTGCAAGTCGGGGCTGAGAGAACAAGCAGCAGGCCTCAAAGCCAGGCACAGCGCAGCCTGTCCGGACTCAAACAAGCGCCTGCTTGCAAACACTAGAAGTTGGGGCCCGCGAGCAAAAGGCTCACGTCTAAAACCCGAGCCACAATGCCAATATGTTGCCCGCTGCCTTTGCACGCGACAAATGGGTCGCTGCTCAACGCAGCCCGGCCTGACCTCGGGGCGACTGTGTGGTAACCAAGGAGTGCTTGGCTGAGCATAATTTTGGCGCAGAAAATTGAGCTGCGGCCGCTCAGGACGGGGGCGCGGTTAGTGCGCAACTGGAGCGTCAATGGCAAGACCACTGCGGACGTCTTGGCTGCGAACAGCTAGAGCTTGGAGCGTCCCGGCCAACCCGCGTACAGCCCTGTGAACTTGCTATGGCCATGCTTCAGAGAGATCAAGTGGTATCCTTTACTGCCGCTTGCGTGGGCCGCTTGACTAAAATGGGTTGCAAGAAAAACGGCGGACACGAGGGAGCAAATTCCGCTAAGAAATGTTGACGCCAGCATGTGCGTGCAAGCCGCCGCTTTGACACTCCGTTGCGAAACATGATGCCTAAATGCCGCTGCGCTGACAAATGTTTAATCTAAGCCATGCACTACAAGCCTCTGATGAACGACACGGCCCGGGAAGTCTCTGTCTTCGAAGTTCCCAGGCTGCCTCGCAAGGGGCATGCACAAGTCTGAGGGCACGTCTCTACGAGCCGCGAACGTTCCAAGGCAATGGCTTTTGGCTTGGCGGCCCTGCGGCTGGTGTCTTGCGTCGTTTCGCAGTTGCCCGGTTGCCGACGGCCGAGTAGCTGCAGGTTCTTGAATCGCCATGGCATCGGGCAGACCTGCCGCTGGCTAAGCTTGCATCTTCAAGATTGGCATAACCTGCGTCAGCCGTTGGATCCCAATGGAAGATGCAACTGGGCCATTGACACCCCGTGCACAGCGATGCAGGCCCGTGCGCCCACTCAGTCGCAAGGCTCAGCCACTTCTCGCTGCGCGCATTGCTTTGCAAAGGTCCGGGGGCCCATCGCGCGGTGGCCAGGTTTGCACTTTGGTGGCTTTGGGCTCGGGTCTTTGCTCGAGGCACAGGGCCTGGTCGTGGATCAGTCCGGCTGAATTTTCTGGATTGAGGTTATGGTGAGCCGACACTCACTAGTCGAACCCACCGCCCAGCAACTCTATGTTCAGCATCATCACCCTTCTGACTCAGAAGGCGTGGAAGCTGCGCAGACGCAAAGAACAAATGGCGTCAGTGCATCAGGCGCCACACCGCACTTCCACGTGCATCCATGCCGGGTCGCACAAGCCCTTATGGAAAACAAGGTGAAGTTTGTGACGGGACCGCGATCTGGACTACAGGCGGAAACACTGCTTTCGGCCGCCTTGGTGCTTCTGATGCGTGACACGCATCCTCGCAGGAGGCTCCTTTGGCGCCGCCCGCGCGCGCAAACCGCAGCCAAATCAGGGGCTGCCTATGGCTTCGCAGAATCACGCGCAGTGAGGCCTGGCCCCCGCCCATTCAGATCTGGCCTGTCAGCTCGGCGTTAACGCCTTGCTGGGCTGACAGGTCTCTGACTGTTCTAGGCACTTGCACCTGCCTACGGAATCACACCGACCGCAAGCTTGGGCTCTGTGTAAGGAAAAGAATGTTCTGCCTGCGCCACTACGGGGAATCCGACTCGGGCTTGTTGATGCTGCGGGGCTCCGCCTGGACGTCGCCTTTGCGCACGCATGCTCTCGGACACGGCAAATATGATTCTGCGCTCATTTGGTGAGCCTTATTGTCGTCTCTCTTACACTGACCTGTGGAAATTGCGAGGTGCGTAGGCAACCGGCGCACCGAGATTTGGCTGCTGGGTTGTGCGGTCAAAAAGCAATTTGCCAGAGGTGCGCGGATTCGTGGGGCTCCATGTCATCTGCGCTGCAAGCATGTCCAACGAGGAGTGTTAATGACCGGGCGACAAGTTCACTCACCAAGATCAGCCCGAATACGGCATCGTAAGGAAGCCCGGTCTCCGATCACACGCCATCTGAGCACGCGAGCTTAGCACCCAGATGTCTCTAGTTCTGACTGGGCCAGCGGCGAACATCAACACTCAAACACTGCCCTGGCAGCGAACATGTGCGTTTCTCAGTCCTACGCCATAAGGAAAAACTCATTTACACAGCTCTCCTGAAAGCACATGGACCCTCTGGACAGAACAAGCTACGTCCACCATCCCGGTTGAGGGTGTTGCAACCACAAAGAGTCACCGTATATAATTGGACATTTACAAAGACACTACGTCACACAAGCAAACATGCAAACATGCAAACACAAGCGCGCAGACACACACACAGAGAAACAGGATGAAAACACGCACACATACACACACAGACGAAGGCAATGTGTGAACTTCCTCCACGATGAGCTGGCAGCGTCTTGGACAAGAACGTTCGCCCTCACCCCCCCCCCCGTCCTTCCCTTGTTTCCTGCGAAAAATCCCTGGGGGCAGGCGGTAAAAGCACCAGTAGTCATGGGGAGGGTCACGACACATGGCGACACATGTACGCGAACGTTCGCGAGCTCCCTCAAGGTCACGCAAACATGACTCATGAACATTAATTAATTAGCAATTCCGCGAGCTCTTGTCAACTCATGTTGCTCAGAACGAAAATGGGTTTGCGCTTGTGTGTTAGACTTGGCCGTCTTTGCGGCTGTGTACCTCTCGAGTTGGCACTAATCCTGAAACGGACCTTTCGCGGCTCCGAAAGTGGCAATAACATACACTTCCGTGGACAGACCTCCAGCTCAAAAGCCGCAACTCTTCCGTACAAGAGTAATACAGAAAGCACACCTCTGTAACTCTAGCGTGAAAGCCAGACCTATTCGGCAAAAGCCCAGCAACGGCAAGCAAGGCAGGGGGGAGGGGTGCGATCAGGCTTGGGTTGGGACGGGCAACGAGCTCTCCGCAAGGGGTTTCTGCCAGCCAGCCCTGCCTGAGTCTGCTCTGCAAGCCGGCGCGGAACCCCTCGCGAACTCTGTGCGAATGGAGCTGTGGAGGCGATTTTGTTACGTAAGGCGCGAGGGCGTAACGAGGTGAGCCGGGCGATCTTGTTGCATAGGCCCCCCCCCATGCGACCCCCATTTCCTGTGCAAAATCAGACCCTTTTCTGAAAGTCGAGATTTTGACCCACTGCACTCAGCAAAGCTGAGGGAAACGAGAACTCTAGCTTAGCTCCAAGGAGCTAGCTTTCGTGATTCTGTGCTGGAAATGCTGGATTGAGTTAGTGGTGATACAATACAAAGTGCTGTGTGTCCTAGTTGTTTCCCTTTCAATCCAAAGAGAATCACCCCAAAAAAGGTTGGCCTTCGCGCCGAAAGGCCACCAAAGGCCCCCCCCCATCGCTCGGCTCCTTGCTGGAGTTCCGGCAGATCTCCGGGGCCCTTGGCCGGGGCGCCACCAACAAACGCCGCAGCTGCCTTCTGATGGCCGGGAGCAGCGTGGCCACCACCTGGTGACGGGAGGCGGGAGGAGAAACCGAGGGTGTTGGTGAAAGCAAGGGGACATCAAATGGTTTTCAGGTTTAGCAGCGGGCGTAGATTTGGATTTGTTCGGTTGCAGGATTCGGCGTTGTGACCCCAATACCTGTCGCTCCAGGACACCCCCCACCTTCCCTTTGAAAAAAAGGAACCCCCAACCTGGGGCTTGGCTTCCCCGTGGCTTCCGAGAACCCGCTCTGATCTCGAGGCTCGCTCCTCCGGCAACGGCAGCTCTGCGTGGTCTCCGCAGTTGGCGGACTTGTGCAGAACCTTCACCACGAAGCGCCGCGCTGTGGCGTCGTCCACCTGGGAAACCAAAGGCTCAAAGGGTGTCCTTTCTGAGAAAATAGATGGCCCTGGTTGATTAAACCACCGGGTAAACCAGGAATCGCCCTCTTGTTTCAACCAAATCAACCAAAAAGGACACCTATGCAAAGGCTTCAAGGGGGCCGTTCCCTCCTTGGAAAGGTCGGAGCCAGGAATCGACCCTTTGCGTCGCGCACGCGGACGCGTGCGGCCCCTGTGCATGGGGCTGAGCCTGTGGAAAAGCCTCCCCGGGTAGAAACGCCTCCCTATTCTGCTGGTGAAGGGAAACTCGAGCGCATGGGAGCAAAACCAAACCCAAGCACATCCCCATCCTTCGCTTCAAGCCATTCTTTAGGCCGGTGCTTGAAACTTCCTGATTAGCTCGTCTCGGAACTCGTCATCCGCTCATTTGCTCGTCCCTCCAAACCCTGGCCAACAAAGGAGACCCCAAGAGGATGACAACCATTCCCCTCGCCCCAGCTGCTTTTCCGGAGCTTCGCTCCGTCTCTACGCATCACACGCCAAACAGTTGAGCCTCAGCGTGCTTCACATCCCAAGTGCTAAAAGTGCAATACTGCAATACTGGACCATCAAGACATGTCCATTGCCTGTTCCCAGCAACCTCCAAAAACATGTTACATGTTCTGAACCCAGGACGGTAAAGCAGCTTCATACGCAAATCAGCCAAGCGTTTGGCGGCTGACCAACATCCTTCTTCGAAACGGACCGACCAGAACCAAGGCCGAACAAGCTGAAGCGGCCGGCAGCAAGGCGGCCACCCCTGCACACACCTGGACGCTGGAAACCCGGAGAGACATCGGCCCACTCCGAAAACCCGCTGTCTTTGGGGTGTTTTGTTGACAGAGCTGGATGTCCATGGTCAATATCTGCTTTCTTAGTCGGGGCTTGGTAAGAAAGCGGTATCGTGTAGGGGGGGGCTCAGGCATGCGTAGTGCAAATGACAACGGGGATTGGATGAAGCTTAAGCCCAAAGACATACGTTGACTCCTTGCGGGGACCAAAAACTTGGATGATTGCGGGAAACTCACACAGTATGCCACCAAGTAAAAAGAGCGCACTGACGACTGACCGCTGGGAGCGATACCAGGCTGAACCACTTCAATGTTGCCTCAAATGTCAGAATGTCAGGATGTAAAATGGCATCAGAAGTGACACATGTCATCTTCACGAGCCAAGCCCCAGATTAGAAGTGTCGGGTTCCATGAGACTAGCTCGAGGGCTTGTGCGGCTTTGGGACTCTTGCAAGGACTGGTTGCGTTCCGCTGATGTCAGCATTTTGGTGTGTCAAAGCTAAGACCTCGTGTACAAAGAAGCTAAGGCAGCAGCCGATGGGAAGGGCCCATTTTTTGTCACGCACAGCGCTTGGTTACCCACCCACCTGACAACTGGGCTGGGGGGACAAGTCTATGCCGAACAGGCAGGCACGATATGTGAAGCAAAACACAGAAAGGCCGTCTTCTTCCCTTCGTCTTCGAATTAGTGTTGGGCCGTGCCCCAGAAGTCCCAAGCAAGCATCTTGAAAAAAAAAAGTCCGTCCCAACGCCCTCCCACCCATGCCTACTTGACCTTGCAGTTTGTTCCTTCTCTCAAATATGGCTGCCGCTACCCCAAAACTCCCCACCCTCGCAGGGTGCCCCAAATAAGAAGGGCACAAATCCAGCTCCCCCTAATTCCCTGTACTTGTTTGGGCTCACGGCGTCCTGAACGACCCCGTGGAGTTCCTTGTTTTTTGGACGTTCTTCCCTGCGTTCATGCATCATGGTTCGGGGGGGGATGGGTGGGCGGGGGGGGAGAGGGGGTGGGTGGGTATGATAAGCACACCCGCTCAACTGCTGCAGACCAGCCCTCTTTTACCGGATTAAAAAATAACATGCTTCTCGGGGGGGGGGGCTGGGGGGGGGCATGATAAGCACACCCGCTCAACTGCTGCAGATGCGTCTTTCACCCCTGAGGCATTCACTGGCCCAACCTTTGGCTCCAGGACCATGGGTCATCATGTTGTTTTCGATTTTTTGGGTTGCGTACGTTCTGCTGCTGCGTGTCGCGTGTGCACCCTGCCCCATTGTTGACTCGTGGTTTCAGGCATGTTGGACGTGCGATCCGTTCTGGTTGGACGCTCACTTTGAAGTTCTCGCTGGTAGTTCGTCTGATCCTTTCGCGCATTTTGCGGCATCTGTTGGTGCGCTATCTGCTCGAAGCCCTTTGAAACAAGAAGAGGCCGACAGCCTCGAGAAACGCACGTGTGTTGGCCAGCGGCACGAAGTGCTGCTATTTTTGAGCGAGGCCACAATGTCCGGCCATGTGTGACTTGGAAACAGATGAAGGCGGCTCGCTCGCGAGCTTTGAGAAGTTGCCTTGGAAAAAAAGAGGCCGGCAGCCTCAAGAAACGCGCGTGTGTTGGCCAGCAGTGCGAAGTGCTGCTATTCTCAGGCGATTTGGCCCTTTCTTGTCAAAGCCATGGTAAAAATGGAAGAAAGTAAACATGGTGCGTGTCAACGACGCAACGAAATATTCATAAAACGCAGGAATTTTGGTAAACGTGCTTGGTCGCCATGGTCAAAAGCAGCGTGGTCATTAGCAACGCCGTGACCTTGTTTGGGGAATAGAAACAGATCATATACTGATTCCGGACGCGGCCAAAAGGCAAACCTCCATTCTTTGGGCCCTTTCCATAAATACCCATAGTACAAGTGCCTAAATGGTTGGCATTGGGTTGTCGGGCGCTTTAAACCCATATGTGGTCACACCAAAAATGAAGTCGCCCCTACCCATCCCAAAGTCTCCACGGGTGGCTTCCCGGCCAAGCACGACGTCCATTCTCCCCCCACCCCCACCCCCCCAAAACCGCGTACCGATCCCCAACCCCCCGGATCCGCCTTCTGCAGGTCCAGGTGGCCCGCGGAGTTCCAGTCCAGGAACTTGGCCCAGCTCTGGCCCTCCGAGAGCCCGGGCATGCACTTGAAGCCGTCCACCTCACCGGAGATTTTAAAAAATAAAAACGCCCCTAACCCCCCCCCGAAGCCATCCACCTCACCCGGAGATTTGTGGTTTTTTCCCGCCCCGAACCCCAGAATAGTTAGAACAGACCTTGCCCATCTTTCCAACCATATATCCAACCGCAAAATCCTAACATTTTTAGCCCCCCGCACAACTTGCCACCTTCATCCATTCCCCATTAAACAATCCATTTTGTCCAAATAATGAAATTTATGAATTCAAATATTCATAAATAATCATTCTTTTCAAAAGGGATTACAACATCAAAATAATAGAATGGTGAAGGTGGCAAAGTGTGCAATATGTTTGGGGTAATATTATCTATGGAAAAGATGGGCAAGGCTAGCCAGATAGAATATAAAATAAATTATACCTACTCATCATTTACAATTACAATTGCACCTCTTACAAAATGGGATGATATGTTCTATTGTATGGGTTAACATATTATCGTTTCGTTGTGCTGTTAGATAAGTCATTATATTAGCATTTTTCATATCAGTAGAAAAACTACAACCGCAGTAATTACATTGATTAGTGATATTATCAAAAAACCATTGAGTATTTACATAACCTTCTTTAGGTATGCTTCCTTTTGCTTTCCTGTCCTGTTTCTTGTAATTTGAAATCGTCCTTTCAAAACCACTCATAATATGATTTTGATGAAACATATCATCAGTATCTTTTGTATATCTAAGAAACTTGACTTTGCTTAAATCACGAGCACGTGTGATTGCCGTCCATATCCATTCTGGATAATTATTTACCAAAAAAATGATTATAATCAAAAACTGTTATGGTGTCATCAATGCTACTACCTTGGGCAGAATGACATGTAGAACAGTAAGCAAATACAAAATTACTTCTTATTTTATCAATTGATAAAGACTGTATAATTTCAGTTTTAACATGTTTCAATGTAAATATTCCATCGCGTCCAATATGAACTATTTAATTGAAATTTACATTAAAAACTGCTGTTTGAGTTTTAGTATATTCCCTACATATTAAAATTATCCTACTTCATATTCACCCTTTCTATTTTCTAATATTCTAGTTTCATTTGATACATTCTTACATGTTGTATTTTAAAATGCTATATTATTTTGAGAACTGCTTATATCAGTTGTGTATTCAAAATATTGTTCAACAATTGTCTCAATAGGTATTTCATTAAAAAGAATATCATATTCAATATTTTCAGTTCACCCTTATCTTATTGTGTGTTGAGTCTCTTACATTCCTTTAATAAGATATTATGATTGAAAATATTATCTATAGTATTGTCAGTGTATATTTCATAGTCTTGAGTGTTGGTTGTTGCTTGAACTGGTTTTAATTGCTTGGTGTCGCCTGTTGCTAATATAGTTTTGTTGTGCTTATTCTGCTCTACAAGTTGTATGTGCTTAAATTACTAAAATGGACTTCATCAAATACTATAACGCCGTAACCTGTAAAATCAAATGGTTCTAATTTATCGTCTCCATAATTGTCATTGCTTCACCTTCAAATGCCTGCAATAATTTGTTAGTAGGACAAGTGTTTTACCTTATATTTTTATCAACCATTTTTTGACATATATATATATATGATTTTCCTGTGCCTGGTAGTTCTCCCCTGATCATAATGGGGTTATTCTTTTCAACAATCTCTATAAATTTGCCAGTGTCGTATTCATCTTCAATATCAATAGTTTTACTTTCATAAACTGGTACTTTTATTAGTTCATTCTTTACAACGTTATGTTTTACTGTAGGTAAATTGATTTCTTCTCTCTGCTTTGAAACTTTCCAACCTCCTATTTCATTATGAAATTCCAATAGTTGTTTTGCCTTTTCAGCATTACAATTGTCAATTATAAAAACAGCGGTTTTTACACTATATACATTGATATTATTAGGTATTAATGTCTTAAACCTTGATTTATTTTAAAATTGTGATGCTGTAAAAGCAACTCTTTTTTATATACCTATAACCATTCTTCAATTCTGCATTATCCTACATTTAATATATAATATGATGCTTTTACATCCCCTTCCTCTTCATGATCCTCTTCTTCACTTACTATACGAGATAACTTATGAATTTTACCTCTGTATTATGTTTGATAATGGAGTGTTTCGTCAATACGTTTAAACAAAATGCTTTGATGGGCGGTAGCACCTCCGTTTTTAATAATCCAAAATTTACATTTGCTATTAACGTTTTAAAATTAGTTTTCTTAAGCTTCCTTATTTTCTTCTATATCAGTTTGAACAAGTTCATTAATAATATGTGTATATTCAACCTTATGAATAAATGAAGGCTGTTTATAATATTGATTTTGTGTGTCTTATTTTCATTGATGAAGTGCTTCAAAAACTTGCCATATACTAGGTTATATTGTTTGTTCAAAAATAGCTGTGATTACCACTTATTACAATGTCTTTAATGGCTTGGTTTAATTCATCGGGATTCAAGAATAAACATAAATCATGAGCTTTACGAAATTCTATATAAGTAGCAACGTCAATACCTTCTCTACATGCAATAAAATATATCATCTCCTTGATGTCATGAGTTGTCTTTATTAGTTCCTTAATGCTGCCCATTGTTGGTTTTTAATGGTCTTATATTTGTATATACAGGTTCAACATAATATAGAGTTAGTTCGTGAAGTTCATCTATTTTAATTCCATCATTGTATTTTTCCAATGGTCAAACTGGTTAAATACTGGTATTTAATTAATCTTGAAAAAAAAAAGAAAAAACTTAGTAAATGCTTTAGTTTCATCAACTTCTGTTTTATTAGCTAAATTAATATTACTCCACAATAACCCTGAAGGGGCTATAGTTCTTGTTTCATTGAATATGTTCATATCAGTGTCATTATGAAAGGATTTATGAGATGGCATGAATAAAGATGTATTAAAGTTAAACATTGCTTGTTGTATGTAGTTTCATTGCTAACTGCTATCCATCCATCACTGGAAGAGTTAATCAAATTTTGAGTCTTTATGATATATGTTATCTCGTTAAATGTGGCTCTAATTTCATCAATAATACCTGTGTATTTAATTCTGGGTTCATATCCAATATTCAGCAACTGGAAAAAAAACTCTGCCAAAGTATTATTTTCAGGCACTAAATATACGTCCTTTGTTTTATCACCAGTTTTAATTTTAAGTATATCATCTATACATTTGAACATTTTGTATTGCGACGGTTCTTCTCTTTCATTTATGTAGTAATCAGCGCGTGCTTTTATAGTGGGTAGTTTTGATACTAATTGCTTTTGTTGTATTTTGCTTAAATGGTGGTTTAATGTGTAACTATGGCTACTTTTCACCATAGCGTAAAATGGTTTAATATGATGGTGTCTTTTATCCGGGTCATATTTGTAAATAAGTTCATTCACAAAATTGAAAACTCTAACTTGAATATTAAGTTTGATAAATACTACTTCCTGTTCCTTAATTGTTGCTCCTACTTCCTTAAAATCATCCCTACCTATGATTTCAATAAGTTTATCTCTGGTTAGTCTGTTACGGGTTCTTTCATTCATGAGTGTATCACTGTAAAAATATGTCAATGAATGTATCCAACATTCATTTCTAATATAAGTACCTTGTTTAATTGCCTTTTGTATAGTGTCCTCACTCATTTTTATAGGTGTATGTATATATTTATGGTAAATGGATACATTAGAAGCATCCCCTAAGATTTCTGTTCCACGGACAATATTTTTATACCATCTAAGACATATTGCTGATTTTCTACATGTTGTGTCTTTTCATAAAAGTCATCGTCGCTATTCATATGATTCTTAATATGTTCGTAAATTCCGGAGTTATTTCTCCTTCCATCATTTCACCAGTCTGGTGTAAAATTATTTTTCTAATAGTATCTTTAGGAAATTATTCACTCACTATTTGAATTGTAGCACTTAACTGCTCATAGTTCCAGAGATAAGAATACTTACCAAATGCTTTAAAGGCGGGTTTTGAATTCATTCTATCCTTATCATCAATTATATAAAGGTCATACATAACAAAATAGGTATTTCTCTTCTTCCTTCCTCTCTTCTTATATTATTTCCCTTCTTCTTCCTTCTTCTCTCTTGTTTCTGTCATCCTTTGATGTAGTGGTTTTGTTTCCTTGGTGTTCTTAACTTTATCTTTGTATTTTTGAAATGCTTTGTCAAAAATGTTCTTATCACTTGGCGTTAAACCTTTGGGTAAGTTTTCTGTTGTTGCTACATTTGATAACGTCCTATCAGTATATAGTTTGATTATTTCATCAACCCGTTTTTTAGTGGCATTATTTGCGTTGGGTATTGATTTTCGTTTAAGTTTGTTTAACTCGTTGGTGTTTCTCTGTAAAAACGTACGACTCATACTATAATATATATATATATATTATAAAGTGTTTCTTTAAAAACTTGCTACAATATCTTTGTAGTAAAATCAAAAATTTCAAGTCTTAAAAATGGTCGCGTGGTATGTTCTAAATAAAAAAATAACTCTGTCCTAATGTCTGCTCATTTTTTCCATCTTTATGACTTGCTTGGCTCCATCGGCTTGTTCTTTCTTTTTCTGTTATTGCTTTTCCCTAAGAATCTTAACTTCATCGCCAACATTTATCTCAGGATAGGTGCTTGCTCTTATCGCATCTACTGCCATGTTTATTTTTGCGGTTGTGTGTGTGTGTGTGTTTCCTTCAGTGCTTCTTGTGGTGTCATTTCTGTGCTTGAATGTTCCATTATATTATTCTAAGTTAATAATATTTCAAAATTATAATCTATCCATTGTGTGTTTTCCTTTCCTTTCTTTTCATTTGCTTCAACCCTTCTATATAACATATCCTTGTAGGTTCTAATGAAACACGCTGCGAAATTCTGGTGTCCTCTTGTTCTATACAATTCTATTCCTTCTTCTTTGAAATAATATTCAACGGTCTTATTATATAAACTGCCTTCCTCGTCGCTATAAATCATTTCTGGTGGTCCTTTCATTTTTCGTAGTCCCTCCATTACTCCCGCTAATATGTCAGGTGGTTGTTTTGATTTAATGGGTATTACTGTAGAATATCTGGTAAATATATCAATTAAAACCATTCCTACTTTAAATTTTTGATTGGGTATATCATTAATGAAAAATGCATCTAATTGAAATTCATAATATGGATATGCAGCAATAAATGACTTTCTGCCTCTTAATTGCTTCTTCTGCTCTATATTATTTTTAAACCATTCCTTAACATAATTTAAGGTTATGCTTTGTTCCTTCCTTTTTGCCTCCTTATATGTATTTTGAATACTGCCGTAACCTGCCTTATCATAATAGATTTTCTTAATCAACCCATCTTTATTAACATCTGCCATATTGATAAAGGTGATATTACTTTAAAATATTGCTTATTGGTCAATCTTCCAGAAATAACATTCCTTGAAATCAGCAATGCTATGTATATAACAGTGTCTAAAAGGTATCATATTTACCGGTATATAATATCTTAATATTAATTCACTACTTCTTGTTACTACTCTCCACGCGCACCATTGAACTTTATGTTTGATTGTTTCTTCTTGAATTGTTCGGTTAACCGCAGGCCATACAAAATATTCTGTATAAGCATTCTCAACATACATTACATTGTACTATTGTTTAATCATGTGAAAAGTTCTTCTATTTACTAATTGCTTCAATGTTTTTTACACCATCCTTATCGAAATATTCAGGTAATAAAGATTTACTAACCATTCTCTTAAATTCTTTGATGGTGGTAGGAAATGGAAACAATTTAATCATAATGTATAATTGTTGTTGTTCAGGGTGTAGTGTTTCAAATTCATTGTCATCTATTATACTATGAAATGTTAAGCAGTGTTTACATTGTAAAAACTTAATTATAGGAACACAATGTTCATTTAATAATACTTTATTGAATGTTTTAACTTTGTTCTTTTCAGTCCTACAGTCCTCGCACATACTCATCATATAATAGTATAAAACATTTCTTTAAATACTTTTTTACAAGAACTATTGTTCAGTAAAATTTCTATATATTTTCCCCCTCAATTTTAGGTCTCAAATCCCCCGCTCTGGGGGTGTTTAATCCCCCGCTCTGGGGGATAAGGCTAAACACCAACTAATTAAGGATGTTGGGCAAATCACCCACTCTGGGGTGTTCAAATCCCCCGCTCTGGGGGTTTCAAAACCTAAAATAGCAAAATTTCACAACATATTCTTTAAAATAATTTAAGTTTTAATAAATACTATTTATTCAATTGTTATAATTTTATATGGTTGTGCCTTATACTGTCTTGGCTTTGTATTCTGTAATTATTCTGCTTTACTTTCATAATCAATATGTTCTAAACCAAGTTCTCCATTTTCTGCCATCTTATCTAATCTATTTCTCCTATGAAATATCTATTGTATAAGCCTAGTTGTTCCTTAATTTGTTCTATTGTCACATCTTCAGGTTTAATACTCATTATTATATATTGTACTATATATTTCTTTCATTACATTTTTACAAGATTTATAAAACTATATGTTTTTAATAGATATGTGATTTTTAGAATCAATTTGTTAATCAACTTTGATATTCTATTTTAATCTTGAATTTATTTTCAATCTCCTTAATTGCTGCTCTATAAGTTTTCTTCAACCATAATAATCTATATGCCCAAAAACCAGCAGTATTAATATTATTGAAATTTTCATCTGGTGAATGGCGATTTACATAACTTTGTCTCCTTGCTTCATTTAGATGACCTTCGGTGAAATGGTCATAACCCTTAGCACCAAATGAAACATTTGTATTATCAATGATAGCATCAAATTTCTTATCCAATTTGGAACTCGGTTTTAATACTATTTCTTTCATATATAATATTAGCTTGCTCTTCATCTTCTTCTGTTCATTATCTGTAGGTATTGGTATATCGGTAGGACTTTTTGATGAAGAACTATTAACTGTCATAGGTGGCGAACTATGAACGCTAATTACCTCTTGCTCACTGCTACTATTGCTACTGCTTTGAGGTTGTCCTGCTGTTAATTCCGCTAACGCATCTGCTGCTTGTGCTGTGGTAGCAACTGTATTATATATTGAATATGCTGTGATTTCTGCTATTGTAAAACCAGTTTCTAACATATTCCATATTATTTTGCTCAACTTTATTTTGGTGCCTTCCTCACTGCTACTATCGCTATCTGCTGGTGGTGTCGGTGGTGGTGGTTTTCTTTGGTTTATTTTGCTCTAGCATTGTAGTGAATCCTTCTACCATTGCTTCGCTTTTCTTACGCAAATTGCTTTTGCTGCAGCTTCTCCTGCCACTCTTTGTGCTGTACTTGGCATGCCACTGAGTCAGCCTCTCTTGAAACCTTCTCACGTTTCGCTACGCGAACTCTGCCAAAATGAGATGCCAGAATGCGATCCACGTTGCAACATGGGCGCCGAGCGCAAATGCTGCACATGCTTCATGGTTGACCGGAAAGAACTGTGGCAAAACCAAGCGGTGACAGTCGAATCAACAACAAATGCACAGCTTGTGCTAGGAAATCCGTGAAGTGTGTTCACATGCATACACATGCGGTAAATCAGGCTGGACATGCAAGTTTGAAGTCGCAATGCCTCACCAATCATTTGGAAAGCTCGTGATTGGCAAAACATTCACCCATGCAACAACCCCGTGATCAATGTCCTAAGAGAGCGACCTTGCCCATCTTTTCCATAAATAATATTACGCAAAAAATATTGCACAATTTGCCACCGTCACCATTCTATTATTTTGATGATGTAATCCCTTTGAAAAGAATGATTTGTTTAATGGTTATTTGAATTCATAAATTTCATTATTTGGACAAAATGGATAAGATGGATTGTTTAATGGGGAATGGATGAAGGTGGCAAGTTGTGTGGGGGTTTTCATGATAAATATGTTGGGATTGTGCGGTTGGATATATGGTTGGAAAGATGGGCAAAGTCTGTTCTATCTAGAATCCCCCCCCCCCACCGTTCCAACCCAGTTGGTTGGGCGGGAAACACTTCCCGAGGAGAAAAAAATGCAAGGGGGGAGGAGGGGGAAAAGGGAGGGGAAGTATGCCCCACTTCATTTTTACTGAACAAGGTGAGAAGCGGCATTTGGAGGGGCTACGAGTACCACTCTGCCGGCTTCCTGGTCCCCTCCCGCGACACCTCGCCTGCTGCCGCGTCAGCGGGCTGACAGCTCTTCCAGTTTGCGACTCGAAAATGAGGTGGCCCGTATCGGGGTTCAGCACCTCAGGGCACATTTGGGTGTGGGTCAAAATCAAACCACCAGGGGACCGCAGCTTGTAGTTGAAGTTTCCATTTACCAGGGTTCCATTTTGGGTACATATTTTTGACCCACAGCCATTTCTTGGTCAAAGAGCAAACTGAGCTAGATTCAAGCTACAGGTTTCTCCCACGACCCGCTTGAGGCCAAAGGCAAATTGCTGATAACCCCAGCTGGCACCCCGCGAAGCGATCATTGTTCACCCCTTGCCACTGAGGATCATGGTCCATCACAGTCGAGATGCGTCTATCCCGGGATTGTGTGTCCAAAAAAGCGAGTTCTTTGCAGTTGAACATTCAAGCCCTTTGAGCAAGTTCGTGGTTGGATTGCTGCCAAGACTGTTCGACACCCTGGCAAAAGGTGCAGCGTGCATAGAGCTGCCAACAACCCCGCCAACTCGCCCTCACTGCCAAACAAGTTCGTAAAACCATCAAAAGCCATGTACAAAACATGCACAATGCACTTACAGCAAGAGCAAGACCAAAAACTACCCCCAAGGGTTTATATTCGCTCTTCCTCCTCATTGGACTCCGCTACCGCCTCGGAGAAAAAAGTAGTTCCTTGCAACCATCAAAAGCTGACAGGAGGCTTCTGGAAAACTATCTTCCTTTTGGGAAAGCACCCCGGAATCCACCCGAAGAAAAAAAAGAAGAAGAAAAAACCGAAGGAAGCATCTCAGTAACCCAAATGTGGAGACCGAGGCGCGCAGGACGAGTGGTACAGCGCCGACTCTACACGGTTGCCGTACAGAGTGAGCGCGCCCACCTGCCAAGAGCGGCGAACTGATCAGATTCCTGCGGGAAAGTGGCAAATCCAAACGGAGGGCCTGACCTTCATCTTCTCTTTGAACGAGGGGGGTGGGGCTTCAGTCTGGCGGTTCTTTGAGTGCAAGCAAGTTCGATCAACCACGGCTGTCTTGAACCAAGCGCAAGCGAGCCGAAACCATGACAGTACTGGGTACCCCGAATGGGAACAACGGAACGGCAAGCTCACTTCGAGCTTGAAAAACATGGTCATGGGTCAAAATCCCAAACCCCCAGTGAACATCCCAATCCCCACTAAAATAGACTAAAATGGGTGGTGCACCTACCCCAAAATGGTACCATTGGTTTTGACCCACAGCCACGTAGATCAAGCCGCCCAACGGCCCAGCGCTGAACCGAATGCCACAAGAAGCCCCTGGCACCTGGTCTGGGTACTCGCTAAGGCCCTCGAAGCCTTGGCGCCGATGCCGAAGCTTCGAGGAACCTTCATGGGTGAGCAATTGTTCTAGGTGAGCTTGCTATAACTGGTGCAAAATGATACGTCTGGCACATTGAACTTGTCTATGATGTGTGTAGATATATATATATATATATATATATATGTAGGTTTACATATGTATATATATATATATATGTGTATATATATATATAGGTGTGGCATGTCTATCTGGATGCGGGGAAGACCCTTTTTCTCGATCTCCAGTTACGTCCTGCATTGACAGCCGTCACGAATCAACCAACTGGTCTGCTTGGACACCTCCAATTCGCTCAGATGCTCCTTGCTTGCCGAGTAAAAGGCCGTCTGTTGCTCATTTGCCTGAAAGCCCCGGCAAGTTGCTGTGTCAAAGAAGGAAAGCAAAAGAACGAAACTACTACAAATTGAACAACGGAGCCCGCTCAATGTCAGCTTCCTAATCATGCGTCTTCTATGTCGTTTCCCGGCCTGGTGCTAGGCGCACCATGTGGCTGTGGGTCAAAATTATGTACCCAAAATGGAACCCTGCCAAATGGAACCAAGCACTCAAACCTGCGGTCCCCTAGTTGTTTAATTCTGACCAATACCCATGTATCCCCAAAGAAACAGTCACTTCACCCGCCAAGGTGTGGCGCGCCCATCGGCGTCTGTTCGTTCCAAGGCACAAATGGGGCAAGCCACCTTCTCCACAGCGGACTCCCGGGCCTCAAGGCACAGCCTCGAAACCTCCCAAAACTCGAAGCCCTCCGAGTTGTTTTCGTTTTTTTTCCGTTACAACATAATGCAGTCATTGAACTCCTAAACGCCCCCCCCAAAAGAAAAGCTCCCCCCAACCCTCCCGCCTCTCCACCTGCCACCTCCCTCCCAAACCCTCCTCTACCACCCCGCCACTTCTTTGCGTGCGCTTTCCCCAGCTCCCGCGCACCTGGTCAAGCAAAACGGAAGCTTCATCCATGGCGCCCTTCGGCCAAGCGCTTCAGGGGCAGAGACTCCGTGGTCCGGCGGATGGAATTGGTTTCCCCGATTCGAGGTGGTGGACTTTTCTTCCAACCCAAAGGAGGGATACCAAGAACTACTAGAACTCATACACACGTGAAAATATTCCGACAGGGTCACCTACGCTCGCCGAATGTACTTTGTTGGATGCATGTGTCGCATGAACAGCCGCTGCAGAGCAGATGAGTCCTTTTTGCGGCTCTCAGGCAGAAAGCCCGATCTTTCCACGCGAAAAAAGTGCCTACCACTTCGCCGCAGCTTGGAATCTAAGCTGTGAACCACAGAACCAGGGAAAGCCGTCGGCCTCCGATCCTTCAATTGGCTCTTGCGTTCGAGCCTGAAAGCAAGCCAGCGGCCACGCAGAAAGGGACCCACTTGGGGAGGGGGGTGGGTGTGGGTGTGTGTCCCCAGAAAGGCATCGGGATGCAACGAAAACATCATGGGCGGTTCCGTGGGTCGATCTCCCTTGCCTCACCTATAAACCTCCAGAGAAAGGCGAAAGGGACACCTCTTTGTTGGTTGATTCAGATGGGAAAAAGCATCCCCACAAAGGAAGAAAGGACACCACTGGAGGTCTGAGTCACAGAAGTAGCAACAAATTTACTGCCGCAAGACTCCTTGCGTGCCTCTGCCTCTGCACGCTACAGCTCCGCGCAAATCGGCGGCAACCCTTTGCCAGCTGCAAGCTCAGCACAGGGACAAAGCAAGAAAGTGCGTGAGAATCAGGATGGCCTGGGTTATTCACGTGAACAAGATGTCTTATCTGTTTGAGTCTCACAAACAAAGTTGTGCAGCTAGCTGTGTGATTGAGAAACAAACCCAACATGAAAGCACAAGCTGCTCGATGGAAAGACGAGCTGACATCACTTGGAATCCCAGGCAGTCAACCTGTCTTAGCCAAACTCGTATGCGGCCGGTGCTTGCATTGAAACCCGGCTCAATTCAATAAGCGCCCAAAACACACTGCCCTCTGGCAGTGGTACCAAAGTGTTCATGAATGGTTCATAGAGACCTTGCTGAAGCCTCCATTGAACCGGAAAAAGAAAAAACAACTGCTTAAATGGCTGATGGAGGATGTCAAGCACTGCTCGATTGCTGATGGAAGGTTGTCTGTCCCCTGCGAGCCGAAGTGACTGGCGGATGCGGGGGAAAGGCGAGGGCAGTTTAGGTCTAAGATGGTGAGGGTAGTTTAACAGCGTTTCTTCGAATTCCCAATCTGCTCTTTGAATCGATTGCAAAGCGTGGCAAGGTCAATCGGTCTTCAATCCATTTGCGTCAAATATTGATTGCCATCAACCTGACGAAACCGGGGGTATTTGAAGGAGCACACCATGCAAAAAACGGCTTGTCACATTGCCAGGACTCATCAAACTCCTGGCCTCCTAATTGGAAATTCCAGTGCACTATATCCAGAAGAAGACGGCCCCAGCTGAGTCTTTACGCCAAGGGTAGGAATTTGGCGTTGGCTCTCTTTGTTTTTGCTCCTCTTGGGAGTTCTTTACGGATTTGTTTGGGCCATAGACGAAACGAATCCGCAAGGACATTGCATGGCATTCTCGAGCCGCCAGTTTGCCAAACTCCAGCACAGTCAGACAATGCCGAAGGAGATGGTGACCCAAAGGAGAACTCACCTTCCGAGACTGAGCAAAAACATTGGTGCTTGACGGGCTACATGTGTAAATGTATATGGTCGAATTCAGTTTGTCCCGCCCTGATGCTGTCATAACATTCGATCCCAATTCGAGCACAAGAAACCAAAGATCCTCTCGTGTTGCCCCTCAGATAGTCCCCATATGTCTGTCAACACAACCGGGACCTTGATTTCGAGTCCCAGACCAGCTTGGGTGAAACAGACACAGTGGAAAGCCACCCACAAGCTCCATCTTGAGAAGCACCCGTTCACCCACGCCCGTGGAGAAATTGGTGCTATGTTCTTGCAAGGGACCCCCACACCAAAAACAAAGGCAGAAGAAGGACACCTGTGGACTGCAGACAAATCTTCCAAGAATAGTCTTCGTCTTGACTGGTTCCCTCAGGATTCTTGTCCGCAATGCGCGTCGTCACACCAAAATGAAAAACTACGCTTCCTCGCGAAGACAAGCGTCGTTTTGGAGGGTCTCCAAAATTTCAAGCCAAAGTGAAACCAACCACTTGCAGGGATTCCCAAATATTGTAGCCATGCTCATGCGCGCGTGCGTAGTCTGCACTTCCAGAGCTCGGGGCCCGCTGGCCTCTGAAAAGGGGGATGTCTTTGGGTTTCGCCTTTCAAACGTCCAAGAAAGGGCCCGCTCTATTTTTCGAACATGGCCGAACCGTGCTTCACACCCAACCTTCAAGCGCAATGGGCAAAGTACTGTGTCGGCGTTTCTATGCGTGTGTGTGTGTGTGTGTGCATATATGTATATATATATATATATATGTATACTGAGTAGACAAACGTCTAGCTGAAGCGGTCAATGCCTTATGGAATGACAAGTTCCTTAAAGTTTTAAACCTTCACTGATGGCTAACCGCAAAGAAAAGCTGGCCGCCAACCTCCACTCCAAGGCTGTCTTCAGGTCAAATCAATCTGCTGCTAGGTGCCCATTTGCAATAAGCCGAAGCATCAAGTGAACAAGAACAAATTGAAAGTGTAAGCAAGAATGGGGAGCCACCAGCCACATGAAGGGGGTGACAACATATTGAACCTCTCTGCGAAGCCCAGCATAATGGCAACAAAGATTGTCCAACCCGTGGACCTACTTCCTCTTCCAACAAATCATGGAAGAAGCGAAGCCCTTTGAAGATGAGGATTCTTCGCAACTTCCACAAGAACCAAGAGAAAGGCTAGTGACACCCAGCTGGAACGATAGGATCTTTGCCCCATCCACTCTGGTTTCCCCAACCCTCCCTCTGGTTTTCTCCAACTGAATGGACAGGCTTCCAACTTCAGCCGGGTCCCCGGCAGGCGTCCGAGGTCGCAGCGCAGCAGTAATCCCCACTGCAGTCCTCAGCTGGCCATGGGTCCAAATCCAAATCGTCCAGTGAACATCCGAATCCAACCACTAAAACAGGTTCTAAAAACGGGTGGGGAATTCACCTACCAACCAAAATGGGACCCCAAAACGGTTTTGACAACCACCGCCAGCTGATGTGGTTGGCTTTTGACGCGTTGAATCAAGTGGTACCGGCCCTTCGGATGCTGTGCAAGAATGGCTTGGTTCACCAGCGGCAAGGGAGCAAAGGAAAAGGGAACGCAAAGGGAAACAAAACCCAGCCGCCAGAATTTAAGCCCAGGAGTTGCACATATCGCACTTCGAATTGTGCTAAGGGACTTTTGGTGACAAGGAGCCCCTGGAAGGGACTCCTTTTTCTTCAGGGCCAGCTTGCCCCAGTATGTCATTATTTTGCTGGGGGCGGCCCAACCGAAAAATAAGAAAGATGTTCCATATGGGTCTCTTTCCCTCCCCCCAAGAACAAAAGGGAACAGGGGACTAATGCAATTGTCCGTGTTTTTGGACCAGTGTAAATTGCGTGTGGGTTCTTTTGAGCGACGTGTGTGAATATCTGCCTTCTCTACTGTTCTAATGCATTATTGCTTTTCGAGAATAAACAAAGAGAGCAAAAACAGGAAAACCAAAACAAAAACACAATCCTCTCATGTCTAGAATCTAGAAGTAGCCACTCACTGTGAAAGAGTTCCGGGAGAGCGTGTTTGTCTTTTTGCAGTTGTTTTTGGTTTTGGTCTTGTTCGGTTGACAGGATGTCCTTCTTTAAAGTTCAGTTTCAAGTGAAAATTCGAGTTGAGCTAGTCTTCAATTAATTGTGTTCAAATGCTACCTGATCTGTGAAGAAAATCATAATTGAAAGGACATCCTGTGTAAATGTCAATTTGAAATAGAATAAGTCCTATTCAAATCCCAATTTGAAATATACATGCTGATTGCAGCCTTTCCTTACCAATTCTATCTAACGCAAATTAAACTGTGACGGTCTATTTGGCAAGGAATTTCTGTCTAGATTTTAAATTCAAGATCCTACAAACCCCAGTTAAAATGGAAATCCGATTTTAAATATGGTTGAATTAATTGTGTTTAAATGTTACCTGATGTGTAAAGACATGTTTTTTGGTAAGGACATCCTGTGTAACGTCTAACTTGAAATACAATAATGACTATTCAAAATCGGATTTAAAGTATGTATTCTGATTGGATTCTGTCCTTATCAAACCCTATATGACCTCAAATTAAATTGCATGGTTCTATTTGGCAAGGAATGTCTACCTTAATTCTACAGTAAATGCAAGATAGAATGTCCAAAAGGATTCAGAACAAGTGTGTCCTTATTGAGTCTACATTAAATTCAAAGTTTGAAAATTATAGAGAGCAGCCTTTGGTGGAGATGCGAATTTGGTATGACACACGCTACCAAAGACTGTGTGTGTGTGTTACAGTGTTTACTCACCATGGCAATACTAGGGGCTAGGCAAAAACGATATGCTTGGTCCTGAAATTTATTTCCTTGTGAAATTATACTAATATCGGTGTCAAATGTTGACTATAAATGAAATTTAGCAATGGCATAATCCTATTGAGGATTTCTATGTTGAACTAAACTCTAAATAGGCACTATCCCATTTCAATCTACCTAAATTCTGCATAAGATGATCTTGCCAATATAGTGCTCTTTACGAATCAGCTAGCTTTAGCACACATTTATTAACCAAGAGCTCAACAGAAGCAAAGCAAGTGCAAACAACTAAGGGAACTAGCTAAAAACACAATGTTTGGACCTCTGAATTCTGTCCTTATGAAAGTATACATAATTATCATGCTCAAATTCTGACTGACTTTCACTAGAACTTCATCAAGATCCAATCCAAGCAGTTTGGTCCGCTGGGTTTCTTCACATAGAACGTTTTCTCCAAATCTGCTCACAAATTAGCACAACTTATTCAAAAGAAGCTCAACATAAGCAAAG